TTATCATGTTTGGTGGAAGTGTAAAAAAAAAACAAAACAGAAAATGTTGGATTCAGTACATGCACTAATTCAGAAGATTTTCAAGACTAATTTACAATTGAAACCAGAGACCTATATTTTGGGATTAATGGATAAGCAACTAGGAAAAAGTAATGGAACTTTGTATTTTTATATATAATAACTGCAACCCGATTATTATATGCTCAAAAGAGGAAAGGTTTGGGACTAGTCACAATGGAAGAATGGTTGGTGAGAATGATGGAAGTTGCAGAGATAGCTAAATTGACTTCTTCGATTATAGAGAAGATAATATCTACAATATATTTTTGCTGACTATAAACTTCTTATGGATTTTTTGCATGAAATGGAAAAAATGAACTTTTTTTTTTATTGAAAAAGTTTTCAAATACAAGTTTTCCCCCTTTCCCCCCCTCTTCCCTAACCCCCCCTCACCACCCATCCCCCCCTGTGACTTCTTCTTCACAACAATAAGCTATTTCATAATTAATTACATAATATTTTACCATGCCCTTACTCACTCCTCAGAGTACTGACCCTTAGCATAATATTCTTATAACTCCGCTTTTCTCCGCTTTTCGCAATAATCTACCCTTTTTCTCCTCCCCCAAACTTATAAAATATTATTATTATTACAACATAACCTTTAATCTTTTATATATATTAATATAACATTTCAAAGCAGCCTTCTCCAAATTTAACATTTATTCAGTTCTATCCAATTCTTCCACTCCCCAAAATATATGACTTAAAAATCCTTTTTCTTAAACTAATCAATCACTAAACTAGCCTATTTCAACCCAGTTTCCTGCAAGATTACCATACACTACAATTCTAAATATAATCCACTGCCCACTCTGCTAAAATATACATATGTCTATATATACATTCCATTTTATAAAAAGAGAAAAGACAATAACTTTAAATTTATAATTCATTTAGTATCTTCTTTGATGTCTTTCCACTAGATTGTTAAATCCATCATCCATAATAGGGTAACATAGCATCCTGGTGCAACAGTTTATTCAAAATCTTCAGTCATCTTCTGCCCCCATCAATAATAAATATCCTCATGTATATATAAAAGTAAAAACAACCACCCGAGTGACATTATAATTATATTCCATATAGTTGTAATTGTGGTTTTCATCAGGATTATAAATTCCCATCATCTTAGTGGGTAACAGCCAGATCTTCTGCATGCCCCAGCATGACTCTCTTGCCTTGTAACTCAAAATAATTATAATATATTTATCGGTAAAAGAAATCCAAAATAGATAGTTCAAATCCAACAATGTAAGGCTCTTTCCACATCCCAAAATCACGGCATTGCAGAGATCTGCCACTTTCCTCAAGATAGTATTAAACGATAATTCGCCTCCAATATCTTTTCACATATTCATTTATTTTTTAAAATCCCTGGCTTCACTGTTGCTTGGTTTAGAAACTACTATTTCTACGAGATCTGTTTCTTTTCTTTTTCTTTTGCGGGTTGCATTTCCATCCAGATTTCCTTCCTACAAGTTGTGTATCAGCTGATCGGTTGTCATTCTGCTTTGTAAATTGATCTTGTTGGTTTTGTTTTATTATCTCATATGTCTTTTCCATCACTTGTATATCAACTGGTTGATTTACGCACTTGTCTGTAACTTGATAATTCATCACATTAGAATCAGATGACACTGCTCTCAAATTTATAGACAGTCCAGCTGGGGTATCCAAGGAGTCCGAAGACAGTTTATCTACCACAGCCTCTGTAATTTGATGTTTTCCCTTTATTTCCAGCTCCTTTTGCTTGTCCTGTGTTATGCCTAAAGATGTTAAATTTATTTTTAAAATTTTTTGATAAAATTCTTCCGCTTTTTCGACAGTATTCAGTTGGTATCTTACTCCTTGGTGTCTCAATATTAAACCAACTGGGACATCCCACCTAAATAGAATATTCCTTTTTTTTAACTCATTCACTAGAAAACCAAATTTCTTCCTCTCCATTAACATCTTAGGCGGGAGTTCCTTAAAAATCCAAATCTTTCTTCCATGAAATTGCAAAGTAGAATTATAAGAATTCTGCACAATTTTATTTCTAATTTCTTTGTCTGTAAAATAAATCACCACATCTCTAGGCAATTGCCTTTGTTTTGCCAACCAGGAGTTTATTCTATAAATTCTGTCAATCCTGCAAAACACTTCATCAGGTTGAACCTTTAAAATCCCAGCCAGAATTTCAGAAGATATCTTCCTTAAATCATCTCTGTCATTTTCCTGCAGACCTCTCAGTCTAATTGCATATTCTGTAAAATTGTGTTGGATCATTAAAACTTCTCTTTCAATCCTCTGTTGTATATTTTCTTCATTACCAGTCTTTTGATCAGCCTCCATTTTAAATTTGTCTTCTGAACTATTATCCTGAGTGTTTGCCAAATCCTTTTTAATTTTTTGGATCTTGTCATCCAAATTCTCCTCAGTTTCTTTCATTTTAGACTCTAATAATTTAGTATTTGCATCCAACTGAATCACAAAGTCTGCTAAGCCATTAGCTGTTTTTAAAATCTTTCGATCCAAAAAGCCAAACTTAGATTTCACCAATTCACCAATTTCTTTGATTTCCAACTTAAATTTTTCAAGTTGCTGATTCACAATCTCATCCCTTCTTACAATCTCCTCAAGAAGAAATTCTATTATATTAAAGTCAGATTTCTGAGACTGGAGAGTTAAAACTTGTTGATGTAATTTATTAATGGGGGAATCCCCCCCCACTGCCTGTTTGTCTAGCTTTATAAGTCTCAGTGCCATTTTTCCACGCAGACAAAATTTACTGGAAAAGAGAAAAAAAAACTTTTTTCCAACCAAGATCAATATCAGATCCGAAAAAATGAACTTTTGATTTATGGTTTTGATGATTAGAAAATGTTAGATAATAGAAAAAAGACAGCCTTTTTGTAACCATAGAGCAAAAGATAAATTTGTAATCACTTGTATTTTTTACACAGGAAATTGAACTTTCTTTCGATTTCTTTCTTTCTCTTGGCCTTTTTTATTATGTATTATGTTGGCTTTATCTCTTCTCATTCCCTGAATATAACATCCACACATTGCCTTTTGTATTAAAATCAGCCTGTTTTTACAGTTGCCCAGGCCCATTATAAGTTTCACTGAACTCATTTGGGTCTCTTGCAGAGCTGCGTGATTCAGACAGCAATTTATACAAACAGATGGAAAACATGGGGGAGAATTGAAAGTACCTTCATGTCAGTTGGCTACAGTTTTATGTTTGATTACCTGAAAATAAGTGACAGGAATCTTGTGAAATATAGCAATCTGATGCTGTTCTGTGCAAACAGACAGGACAGGATGAGGAAGAATATAATTTATGTTCTTGCTTATTTTGTGGTTTTATTCACAGTAAATTTGCCCCCATTTAAAATTGAATGCATTCCTCAGGATTGGGCAATAAAAGATTCTCTCCCTCTAATATAAACTTAATGAAATAAATATGAATAAACTATTATTTGGAACTCCTGTTTGGTTGGATCATCCATTTAGGATAGAATAACAGAATTGGAAGGGACCTTAGAGGTCTTCTAGTCTAGCCCCCTGCTTAGGCAGGAAACCCTACATCATTTCAGACAAATGTTTATCTTCTTAAAAACTTCCAGTGTTGGAGTATTTACAACTTCTGGAGGCAAGTTGTCCCACTGATTAATTGTTCTAACTGTCAGGAACTTCTCCTTAGTTCTAAGTTGCTTCTCTCCTTGATTAGTTTCCACCCATTGCTTCTTACCTGCTCTTAGGTGCTTTGGAGAATGGTTTGACTCCCTCTTCTTTGTGGCAGCCCCTGAGATATTGGAACACTGCTATCATGTCACCTCTAGTCCTTCTTTTTATCAGACTAGACATACCCAGGTCCAGCAACCGTTCTCTATATGTTTTAGCCTCCAGTCCCCTAATCATCTTTGTTGCTTTTCTCTGCACTCTTTCTAGAGTCTCAACATCTTTTTTACATGGTGGCAACCAAAACTGGATGCAGTATTCCAAGTGTGGCCTTACTACAGCATTTTAAAGTAGTATTAACACTTCACATGATCTTGATTCTATCCCTCTGTTTGTGCAGTCTAGAACTGTGTGGGCTTTTTTGGCAGCTGCAGCACACTGCTGGCTCATATTTAAATGATTGACCACTAGGACTCCAAGATCCCTCCCACAGTTACTACTATTGAGCAGCTCTCCATTGAGATTGGCAGGGGAGGTTTTCTGCGAGAAGGTATCAATAACACTTAGACTTATATACCGCTTCACAGTGCTTTACAGCCCTCTGCAAGCAGTTTACAGAGTCAGCATATTGCCTCCAACAATCTGGGTCCTCGGAAGGATGGAAGGCTGAGTCAACCTTGATTGAACTCCTGACTGTGGGCAGAGTTTGCCTGCAATATTGCATTCGAAGCACTGCATACCACAAGTAGTAGGAGGAAATTCCAGGACAGAGATGTCATATGGCTTTCAAGTCCAGCTGGCCCCAGTTGTAGCCACTCATGGGAACCTAGCAACTGTCTTTAGAAGGACTATAGAGATCTCTCATAGTTAACCAACTATGGTTAGAACCAGAACTAGGATCTAAAGAGTATCTTCAGAAGTCTCTCTGGTATTGCTACAAGCAAGCAGCATTGTTATTGTTGGTTCATGTGGGTAGGGAAGGAATATATCCAGAACTGAAATTACAGAATTGCACAAGGCAAACCGTAAGAAGACAAGAAATAATTCATCTGGTCATCCAAATAGAAAGCACATGGATAGAAGGATAAAGGAGCCCAATTTTGACTTTCATTACTTACGGCCAAACCATGGTGCCTTTTGAGTTGAAGGGGTGGAGCAGAGGGGTGTGTGAAGAAAACCCCACCTTTGTCCAAACTCTGCCAAAGAATTGAGATCAAAAGGGGCGGAGCCTTCAGTTGTAAACTCGGCTTTAAATATGTGTGTTCATAGTTTGCAGAAGATCCTGCAAACATTGTAAAATCGTTCTAGGAAAAATACTGTTCATTAGTGCTTGTGGAAAAAAACAAATAAAAAGTCAGCAACATGAATGGAGATCTTTTCCAAGTAAGTCCACTATATTAAGAGGATGTTTTATGAAGGTATTTAAATGTTATAAACACTAACATGTATTTTTAAAGAATGCATAATGTTGCAGTTATTAGTTACACAATTGACACTAACTTTCAATTCTATGCCTTCAACAGCAAGGTAATTATAGGCAGATATAAGTCATTATCTTTCTATTCTTGCATATTAACTGGCTCTTTAATGCATAAATGCTTGTTTTTCTGACATAAAATGTCAGATTGTCAGAATCTGACAATCCTATGTCTACTTTTATTATTTTATTATATTATTTTATTTCGATTGTTCTGGAACAGAGAAAGGAGGAATAAACTTGCAGGCATAGCATTTTTTTCTGCATAGATTTTCCTATGAATAATTTGTATTACAATAAATATATGTTTACTTGAGCTACTGTGGAGAAAGTTAGGTATTTATGAGAATGTTTCCAGCAACAAATAAATAAGGTGTTGGTTTTACACACAGTTATATAAGTGTATGGTAAGTCTGACCTACATAGTTTCTATCTATACATTGAAATTTAAAATACATGTTCATGTTAAGTAACTGCAGTTAAACACCATTCTAATATCTCATGTAGCTTTCTTAGAATCTGGAGATGAATCCTGGTGAATGATACTTTTGATGAATTATGTGATAGATAGAAATATGCTGACCACAGACACCAAAAGTTATCTACAATTAGAAACCTCAGATCCTTGAATTTGTGAGCAAAGGAATTTGGAAAAGGAAAATAATGTCATCAAATGTATTTGCTTATCACCACTGGTTGAACATATCTGAAATCTGTTGAATTCCTGCCTCAGTGTAATGGGAAAGTTAGACCAGTGATTATAACAAGTTGTTTTCAACTCTTAATGAACACATAGATTTTTTTTCCATGACAAATGATCTCTAACTTGGTCTTTCAGGTCTTCCAAAGGTGCACTGATCATTATTGTAACTGAGCACAATGCACCTTGTTACTGGCTATCTTTTCTTTCTTCCCGTCTTCCCTAGCATTTCAACATTTCCCAAAAACTTAGGTCTTTGCATACTGTATCCAAAATAGAATAATTTCAGCCTGGTAATCTGTGTCTCAAGTGAGAACTCCGGATTGAATTGTTTGATGATCATTTGTTTTCTTGGCTGCCCACAATATTCTCAAGAGTCTTCTCCAGTGGTGGGATTCAAATAATTTAACAACCGGTTCTCTGCCCTAATGATTTCTTCCAACAACCAGTTCACCAAACTGCTCAGAAAGTTAACAACCGGTTCTCCCGAAGTGGTGCGAACTGGCTGAATCCCACCACTGGTCTTCTCCAACAGCAAGTTTGAAGGCTTCAATACTCTTCCTACTGTCCTTCTTCAAATCCAACTTTTGTTTTCATAATGTATCACAGGGAATACTGTAGCTTGCATAATTCTGGTCTTTGGAGTTATAAACTAGATAGATCAAGATTTATCTAACAGTTGGATGCATTTGAAAGCAGAGAAACCACTGAAGGTGCTTCAGCCTCTTCCTATGTATCTAGTCTATGGAAACAAATGGCAGATTCACCTTTCAATTGCACTGAGCTGTCCCTATTTCAGAGGATTCCTTCAGCTCGTATAATCTCTGAACTGAAATATTTAATATTAATGGACTTTTTAGCTGCTGCTGTTTCTTATTCTTCAAACGGTTTAGCAGTTCCATGGCGTTTGTGGATGGGACTCTAGCACTTTGCTAGGGCTTCTTTTTAAAAAGCTGCTTTTCCACATTAACCAAAGTGGAGCTGAACAAATACCACAGTGAAATCCACTAATGAATTCCTAATTTTCCCAGAATAAAAATAAAGGATGTACACAACATCAAATGTACCCTGCTGGGATAAGCTTAGCAATTCTGGATTTGTTCAAGATTTTCCTCATAAGAGGGTATCACCCCACCCCCACCCCACCCCTCTCAGTCTTAGGATGTGCTTAATTTCCTCACAACTCCTTAATTAGGAAGATTGCTTGTAGCAACGAAGCAACAAAGAGCTTTATTTTTGCATCCAGACATTTTTCTCACCCTCATCCTAAAATATATTGACCATTCAATTTGTTCTTCAACGTGAAGAGTTTAACCAAAATGCTTTGAGTTGATATATTTTCCCTTCCTTTTTGTAACAAACATTTACTGGAAACAGACTTTTCTGTTTACCAAGAGCCACTGACTGGTTCTAGCTGAACCTTTGCCTGACATTTAATAAATACTCCTCATGAGCTTCACAGGCTTGTTCTGGGCCAGTGGATTAATGTCACAAATGATATGCACTGGAACAAGTATAGGCTATTTAACAAGAAGTTCTCTTGTCTCAGACTCAACACGTACAGCTTCAGACACTGAAGAAATAGCAGCAAGAAAGACTGGCAATACTAATAAAACTGAGAAGGAGAAGGTGGACATCAGATTTTGGTTTTTATGAATTTTAAGAAAGCAAGCTTCTAATCATCATTGCTGCAAAAACTTCATTTGCCAAATTTAAGAACAGAGGAACATCTTGCAAATAAAGAAATTCAATCCATTGCTTCACAACAACCTCCTCCCATTCCAGCCAATATATAGTCTTCAGCCCAATAAATAGACGGAAACATATGAAGAACGGTTGCAGGAATTGGGTATAGCTAGTCTAGAGAAAAGAAGGACTAGGGAGGACGTAACAGCAGTATTCCAATATTTGGGGGAGCTTCCATAAAGAGGGCATCAACTTTCCAAAGCATCAGAAGGCAAGACAAGAAACAATGGTTGGAAACTAATCAAAGAGAGAAACAACCTGGAATTAAGAAGAAACTTCCTAACAGTGAGGACAAGTAACCAGTGGAACAGCTTGCCTTCAGAAGTTGTGGGTGCTTCATCACTTGAGTTTTTAAAGAAAAGACTGGACAGCCATCTGTCTGAAATGGTATAGGGCAGTGATAGCTAACCTTTTCCGGACTGAGTGCCCAAAGCACGTGCCTCCCCGCATGTACCCCCCCGCATGTGCCCTCCACATGCACCCCCTCTGCAAGCACCCCCCTACCTGTGTGCATGCCCCCCGCATGTGCCCCCATATGCCCCCCATTCCCCCCTCATGCACCCCACCCACTGCGCATGCACAGGCAGCCCCCCACACGTGCCCCGCCTCTGCACATGAGCAGCAGAGACCCAAAGACCAGCTGGCTGGTGGGAGGGGCGAGCACAGGCACGGTGGAGCTGAACTGGGGTGATGGCTCGCGTGCCCATACAGAGGGCGCTGTGTGCCACCTGTGGCACGCGTGCCATAGGTTTGCCATCACGGGTATAGGGTCTCCTGCTTGAGCAGGGGGTTGGACTAGAAGACCTCCAGTTCCTTCCAGCTCTACTCTGATTGACTGTGCAATTCAAATTATTATGAAGCTTGCTGCTGTAGAGGCTACCCTCCTCATCCTCAAGGAAACAAACCAATGGCAAGGACTGTCATTTTAAACATGTTTAACCTTTAAAACTTTTTTTTCCCTGTCAGTTTATATGCGAGCTAAGGTGGATGTAAGTTGTAAAACAACTTGGAAAAATAGGGTGTAAAACAGTTAGATTCAATTTTGGAACTTAAGAGTTGATGTAATTAGTTTCCAGACACCAAAGCCTTGTAAATAATTTCATATTTATTATATAGGAATCCAGGTACATTGAAGAGAACACTTCCCAGAAAGACGCAATCTCTCTGATTTTTTCCCTTAAAGAAGAAGTTGGAGCCTTGGCTAAAGTCCTTCGCATATTTGAGGTATGTATTTTACAAAAGCAGTTGTAGGAAGAGAAATCCCACCAAGGCTGCAAAATGACAATCCAGCCATCATGGATGCAGTTCCCAGATATCATCGTCTTTGTGGTTAATCTCAGATGACATCCCAAAGCCATCAACTTCCAAACCGGCCTGTCTTTTGCTCCCTTGCTCCTACAGTATTCTATGATATTGGCTGTTTGGCTAGAGAAAATGGTGAGAAATTGCAGAAAGCATCAACTCCAAATAAGCCTGATTTTATATTAATGGTTTACCAAAATCTGTTATCCAATTTCCCTCAGCCATTCTTCACCTGCAAAAAATACTTCTATCTTTTTTGTCTATCACACTAATTTCTTTAGGGCAGCATGGTGGTTCAGGAATTATGACTCTGCGCTTGTTGGCTGGAAAGTTGACAGCTCAGGTTCAAGACCTGAGTGCAACACAATGGGGGTGAGCTCCCGTCCTCGCCCCAGCTCCTGCCAACCTAGCAATTTGAAAGCATGCAAATGCAAGTATATAAATGCAAGTACCACTTTGATGGGAAGGTAACAATGCTCAGTGATGACATGACCAAATATTTTTGAACAGTACTGGCTTAAAGGCCTTGAAACAGAAATGAGCACAGATGCCTATTTGGCCATGACTCCTTTACCCCTCACTTTTTTTTTTTTTACTAATTTCGTTAGTATGTTTCTTCTAAACATATCTCACTGTTATAAGATGGAAGTGCTGTTGGTTCTTCAGTAATTATCACTCTGTAGCTTCACTGCCTGTTTTGCTAATTTGAAAAAGGCATCCTCCACATTTTGTTTTGTTCTCTAATATAATCTAAAGAGAAATTACTTTACTGGAACAGTGGGGTGGGGGAACGAGCTCAAAGCTACAGGAGAATCAGTTATGCATTTCTGTTTATCGCCACAACATTTGACATGGTGAAATATTTACAAGATCGATTCATTAAAATTTCATCCTGGAGAAAAATCTGTATGGATAAGAGTTGACATTGACTTGATGACACATCATTATCATCATCATCACCATCAATCTTCATCTTCACCATCTAGTTGATTTGATCTTACATGGTGCAAGCAAGCATCCTGATGATGTTTTCGTTTAAACATGTTTTAACATTCCTTCCTATTGTACTTAATAGAATTTTATGTCCTTCTGCAGCCAGAAAGTCTCATTAAACAGCTCATACATGAAAGGCAAACAAGACATTTCAAGGGCAACTTACACTAACATTCTCTTTGCTATAGAATATGAATTATATCTGATTCATATAATTCAACTTAAGATGGTTTGTTTAAAGAAATCTGCCCTCAATTTCAGGCATAATATATAATTAATATAATTGCATTGATCATATTTGAAACCCTCTTAAATCTGTCTCTTGATATGGTCATAAGAAGTGATTTCTTAGAAGTTTTCTTCCCCTGCAAAAGAAGCTTCTTTTCCCCTCTTTTCCACCAAGTGTTTCATAATTTAAAATTTCTCTTGGTGTTAATTTTTACCTCATTTTATTTTAAGAAGAGATAAAATCTGCCACAACTGGGGTTGTTTTCAGTTGCATATCTTTCCATCATTCTGAAAACTGCCTGAGTATCCTCATTTCCCAGTCTGGAAAAAAAAATAAAAAATAAAAATGGAAACAATCCCACAACCCTAACAAAAGGAATTTCCATGTGATATCCTTCTTTGGGATTTAAATCTGAGAACCCAGAAATGAATGTACAATGAAAGATGTACACTTTTTAAACCCTTTGTAAGTATTCCCAACTTCAATCTTGAAAATTTCATTGAATGTTCTGGGTGGGGAGAATCAAACACAGCTGTTTCTAATCAAACTGAATGAGAACGGTGGTGATGGGAACAGAAAAAGAAATTATGACAGCAACACTAGTTGTTTTCATTGTCAGATATATTTCCACATGTTCTGAATTATGCAGAAACGTTCTACAGAGAGCACAGATACTCTTCCTCTTCTCCCACTCAGGTGATATTCAGCAGGTTCTGACCAGTTCTGGAGAACCGGTAGCAGAAATTTTGAGTAGTTCGGTAAATACCACCTCTGACTGGTCCCGCCCCCATCTATTCTCTGCTTCCTGAGTCCCAGCTGATCAGAAAGAAATGGGGATTTTGTAGTAACCTTACTCTAGAGTGGGGAGGGAATGGAGATTTTACAGTATCCTTCCCCTGCCATGCTGATGAAGCCACGCCCACAGAACCGGTAGTATAAAAATTTGAATCTCATCACTGCCCCCCCCCCCATGTAAGGGCCATAAAGATAATGATAGTATGATAATACCTCTTCTTGCTTTCTAGTACCTAGCTTCCCTTTTGAAATTTTTGTGGTTTGTGGTTTTCTTTCTTTCTTTCTTTAAAGAAGATATAGTATGGGCTTTAAATGCACTGTATGTCTAGGAAAAAGTTATATAGAAACACAAATTGTGTAATGTACAGAGTCCCATCAATTTTTTTTATTTAGGAAAATAACAATTGAGCTGCAAATGGAGAGGAAATGCAGGGTGATGAAAAACAGGTAGATTCTGTTTCATAACTGAAGGGGAAAAAAAAATCAATGATTACCCAGAATGAGATGTGTAAAACTTCTCTTTCTGTGTTCAGTGACTTCAGAATGGATTTTCAATCAATGCATCTAACTCAAACTTTGCTCAAAAGATGTACAGAAAGTTTGAGTTAGATACATTGATTGAAAATCCTTCAGCATCCCTCATGCATACACAGTATGTGGGGGTAGAAACAAGACGTTTTGCATAACAAAATGGCTCTGTTCAAGCCTTGAGATGTCATTTGAATCATGGGCAGGCAAATGTTTGTAGCTGGAGGCTGCATTAAAAAGAAGAAAGCCAATAACCTGTTTCTGAATTACACAGAGGGCACTGAAGTGATACAATGATGTTACCAGAGAGTCTCTGTCAAGATTTTCATCCTTTTGATGAAGCCCATCCCTTGAGGATTGCTTTAAAATCAAAAAGATGTATTAATCCTAGTAGTGTCAACTAACTATATTGCTTAATATTTTAGCAAATAAATAAAAAGAAAGCAAAATCATGTTGTACAATGTGAGTTTCTGTAATCAGATCTAGAGAGAACCTCAGGGTCCAAACAAACAAAAACTTGCATGTAGATCAGGTTGCTTACTGATTACTGATAAAAAAAAAATCACTTATTGATAGCAACAAAAACATTACAAATATTCTTGTAATAATATACTTTGTTGATGTGCTATTTGGCTTATGGAATAGTATCCAGAGAAGCAGTATATGTTCTTGGTTCTTGGTTTTTGTTTTTTGTTTTTTTTCTCCTCAGGATGTTAATCAGATGGATTCTCTTGACATTAACTTGAAAGGAGGTTGAAATTCTGTTCTTCAATCTGATGGAGAGCTTGGCTGCACTTCTTAGTCATGTATAAGAGTGGAGAAACAATATTCCTTTAACCTCTTTCTCCTGAGGTGGCTCAGCCTCCATAGACACGTTGGCCTTCCCCTGCAGAGCTCTTGCGAAGCTGTGATGAGTGTGCAGCTCTGTTCTTCATTCATCTCATAGAATCAGCTTGACACATGAAAATTCAGAGTTAGAGTACCTCATAGATGACAAGCTAGTCTTGTCTGAAGATGTCTAGTGGTGGAGACAGGCATTGTCTGGGCTCAGCAGCAAAGCAGCTTGTTAGCATCTATATGTGAGGTCTTCAAGGAATTCTAGGGTTATAGGCTAAACTGGGATTTTAAAAAAATAAAATAAAAAACCTTCCTGGAAGAAGGAAATGGCAAATTATTTCCCAATTGTTGCCAAGGTAACTAAACATATGTCTCCATAAAATCAGCAGGAATCTAGCTCAACTTAAAGGAGACTTTAGTATTTTAGAAAAGAATGCTTGATTATTCCCCTTCCAAAAATTGTTTCACTTTTAAATATCTCTTAACATCAGGCACAAAATCAGCAATGTTCTTCCTTTAGCATGTAGATCATTACAGTTAATCCTAACCTTTGGCTCAGCAAATATTTGTCCTCTTCTAGCTGACAGCCTGAATTTTGTAGGATACAATTCCTTCTCAGTACAGTATCATATTACAATATAGTACTATATTGTATTATATTGTTCTCCATTCTGTAATAGCTTTTCTTGCTTCCTGCTTGTCATATTGAATGTCCATTTAATTAATTTGGGCCAAATGAGAGATTGTCAAGAAATTATTATGGGCATTGGGGGGGCGGAATACAGTCCTATGTCTGAATGGTATAATGTGGAACTCAATGTAAAACAGCCCTGATTTAATACTGGAAAGTTGAAACATCAAGTCTGGGTTAAATAGACCCAAATATGTGCATTTATGCAACTTTCTTTGCAGTAATTATAAAGAGTTCATTTCATCATTTCTTGAATGTTATATATTTCAGCTGGTATCCTTCCAATGTTTTGATCTTTCATTGTTTGTGCTGGCTAGAGATTATGGGAAATGTTTAAAGGTACCAGTTTGGGTTAACTGATCAAGGGCATTCTATAGGTTTGAAAATATGGCCTTCAATTTTTAAAGTAAAGTAGTACAGATTAAACATTTATTTATCCCTCATGTGACTCAACCCTATTTCATTTCATAGCAGTCAATAAGGCAAGCCCACTTGTTTTAGCTTCCAGCCACAGGCGCTTGTAGCAAAATAATAATTTCCCCAGGTCCTTGGGAAGGGACTTGATAGGTGGCTAAAACTCAGTAGGGGGATAAAACTTCCAAATCCAAACATCTGGCTGATTGTATAACCAATCATAAGAATGAGGAAGGCAAATACAAGTTCAAGAACTGGCAGCTACGAATTTCACACAGTGGTGTATATTATAATACATTTATATTAATATTAAATTTATAGACTACATAGCTCCCAGAGATTCTGGATAATTTACAAAAAAATCATAGGCAACGCACAGGGTTCTTTCTTTATGTATGCATGTATATTTATGTATGTATGTATGTATATGTATA